AAAAAAAAACAACTGGAAAATGAAATTGTACCAAAGCCCTGGCTTTGAAGCGGACGGACAACATGGTGTTTTCGCTCCAGCGGCAACATTTGCGCGTAAAAATAACCATGCTGGGTAAGGGGAGGGAGGGGGCAAAAATTAAAAATACTTAAATAGCCGATCATGTGTAAATGTTGCCGTACTTGCCGTACAAATATTCCTGCCGCGCAAATATTGATAGTTCCAAGGGCACCATATCGCCCATCAAACCTATCGGACTTCGGTCGTCCAGAGTCACTATCACAAGAGTTCGAGTGTTGATTCCTGCTAATGTGTGCAATTGCACACTTTTCAGTTTGTTGGCAGCGAAGGGGAGGAGGGAGAAGGACATTGTTTTCTTATGTTTTCTTCCCCTGAAGAGGAGTGAATGCTCAGTTAGGCACCGCCTCTGCGGACTGCTGGTCCTTTCGCTCCACTGTGGTACATTTTGTGAGAACCAGTAGTCCTCGGAGGCGGTGCCTATAAGGTTCTTGTACCCATCTCCTCTTGCATTCGTTATGCTTGAGGAAGCATGGGTGATTACATTTTATGCACCTCCTACCCTAGTCTACGGCCGGACGAAGGCGTTGCCCAAATAAGGTAGAGCGCGGCCGAGGCGCGCAAGCAGCTACTATCGTTGTGACTCCGCAACTTAGGCGCTTCACGTGTAAATAAATCGCTTTCGCATTCCCTCGCTCTTCAGTTCGGCTACCTTCGTTGGGAAGTAGACCATACTTGCCTCCAGCATCCTGGGAAATGTGCAGTTGCAACATAGTAGCAAAGAACTGTAATTTTTCGGACTTCACATGATTTCCTCAATTTGTATCTTTATAGGTTGTCAAATATGGTATGTCAACGAAAGTGGGACCATTGTCGTTTGACACCGGACAGCCAGGAGATATGGTGTTTGATAAGCCTTATTCTGAAGCGACAGCGCAGATAATAGATCAAGAAGTGAGAGACATGGTTAATACTGCTTTGACACGAACTCGAGAGCTGTTGCTATCAAAACGAGAAGATATCGAGAAGGTAAGATTCGCAATCGATTTATTGATTAAACAATACCTTTCTTGAATCGATTGATGATGACTCCAGGTTGCTCAACGATTATTAGAACGAGAAAATCTAGCGCGTGAAGATATGGTTGAATTACTTGGAAAACGGCCGTTTGCTGAGAAGCAGACCTACGAGGAAATGGTTTCCGGCACCGGAGGTAATTTTTGTGCACTTTCTTCATATTTTGCTTCAACTGTGATTTTGTTTAGGCATGGATGAGGACACCCAATTACCTAAGGGATTGAAAGATTGGAATAAGGAGAGAAAGGAAGAGCAAGAGCCACAGCCACAACCGGCCGATAAATAAAGTATCTCATTCACCTTTCACCTTTTAGATTGCAATATAGTGCATCATATAATATTAGGACGTTTGTGATGGAACGCGACTTTTTACTGCCGGCTGTTGGCTTCTCCAGGCCGATTACTAGTTGTTTTCTATAGTTGTTTGTTAAGA